AGTAGTCCAAAATTACATTTTCCAGAAAAAACATTTGCGATAAACATTCAACATGTCCTGAAAGAACAACTGTTTCGTTATAATTCGGTTTTCGGTGTAATAAAATTTCGAACAAACTTATTTCGGACAAAACATTTTCGACTCTATGATAGGTTACCATGATTTTTGTTAGAAAGAAGGGTACCCCAGTAGTGGTCCCATTCAAATTTGAAGAAAATATTCCACCTCTAAGGGTAGCAAATTAGGGGATGAATTTGGTTTCAACGTAGTTGTGAATTAATACGAAATTGATGAGCGGACAAACGTCAAAAGGGCCATCATAGCGCGCCGGTAATTTAGGTCCATATGCGTTTCTGTTATCGTTGAGCAGACTGTGGTCGGTACTTCCAATAAACACTATGCCAACTTCATTATCGGAACTGTTCTGTTTTTATGTCGCTTTTTTATTCAGCTTTTTTATTTTTTTTTTCACTAAATTCAGAGGGCATAATATTAGTAAATAAATATGGCTGTTTACAAAAATAACAGAAAATGACGTAAAAATAAAGTTGACGTCGTTTTTCTTGGAAATACCGCGGTAACGAATACACTGAAAGCGAGTAAGCAAACTTTTTTGATGTCGGTTTGCATTTTATAAAACAGTTATAATTATTTCTCTCTATATAGGGTGACAGGTTGAACGAGATAAATATTTAAAGAGGCAAACGAGTAGCTGATGTCTATTCCGAAGATGTGAAAAGAATCGCTCCTAAAAAAATTCGTGCCACTTTACAAGTACTAACACTCTTTATTTGGGCTACTCTCTGAAACAGAACAGCTGAGCGGTAGGAAATTGAATCCTGTGTCAAGTCTTCCTACTTAAAGACTACACTCCGACGAATGATGTGTCCGGGAGTATATTAAAAATAATTCAATTTTCCCTTCATTAAAAGCGTACGCAGAGGTCAGTAACGGTAGCGAGCACTATCTGCATGGAGTACAAAATGTTAGAGGCAGTATTTTCCTTAGAGAAAAATATTTAAAAATAAGGTAATAATAAATTTTTTACATATTCGGTATGGGTATCAGCTACACAATCGCCTTTTTCAAATATTTATCTCGTTCAACCAGTAACCCCGTAAAAATAAATTATTGTTTACCTCTAGTTGTAATATGCTTAATCAGGTTGATGCTCTTCTCCCATGCTTCGTCAGATAGTTTCTTGAAAATTTTCGCAAAGCCAGTTCTGTGGGTCTGATAATTGTTGAAATAGGCGGCGGAAAGAAGATACTGATAGGATCTTTCTAGGTGAAGGTTGGCGTAGGCTTGCATTTCTGATGCTACGTTGCCGTAGCGCCCATATTGTCCATAAATCGCGTTACAGCTTGGAAGAGCTAGAAAAAAAAGAATTACAATTGAATCAGATAAAAAGAACATCTCGCACCCCTCATGGAACAATAGCATAAGTGGAGTTACGTCAGAAATTTTTGTTGCTGCATTTGATACAAAAATATAACCCACATCCTTTCCAATTCTTGTAACTGTCAACTAAACTTAAACGTAATATACTGAATACTTATTGGAAATGTAACTAAACAAACGTTTTGGGTTCTTTACCCCCTCTGGTTCACTCGGTTTTTGACCGACTTTAAGTAAAGAGAAAGTTCACAATTGGAATGAATTTTTTTCTACTTTACTCGATATACTCCGACATTTATTTGTGAACCGATTTTGATGATTCCTTTGTTGTCGGAAACGGGTACCCCGACAGTGGTTCCAGTCAAATTTGAAGTAATATTCCACCCACTTTACGTTAATCGATTTCAATGCAATTTGAGGTCATATTCATATTCTTTATTTGCAAGTCACATGGTTATATAACAGGTGTTCTTATGCTAATGGTACTAAACGTTTAACACCCCGTGGGGGCACAGCAATATTCTGAGGGCACTACCTCCTTACTTTACTATATAATTAGAAATAATTTAATAAGAAAACTGTATATCAAAAACTCTACAATGTCTGAGGTGTTGAGGTCGTTTTTTTGAAAGTTATAATTTAAAACAATATACGCGATTTTAAATACGAAATAATAGAAATTGCGTTAAAACTACAAGCTCGCATTATGTTGTATAAACTTACTCAAACTGCTAGATGTTTGCGAACAGTCCGACGAGACATCTTTGTAGCAACTTTCTGCTGCAAAGGAAACAGCCAAGAGGGATGATAGAGCTATTAACAGCTTCATTATTCTGTGGACAATCATTAATAAGTACGGTCAAAATTATGCAAAACGAAGCGACGTTTTAAGTCATAAAATAAAGGAAACAGAAACTCCTTGTGAAAGAGTTCGTCCAGGGAAGTACTGCCACCTTACCTATTCCTGCCGCCAAGCAGTAATGTCACCAATACTGTGTTCCGGTTTTGAAGGTTAAAGTGGTGGTGAAATTACAGGCATATGAGACTAAGTTATGTCTCAGAGTGACGGGCGCAGTGGCAGTGCCCCTCAAATTTTTGCGATTTAAAGCTCTGAGTGGCACTGCAACTGTTATGGACAGGCGTGTAGCTTACCATAAGGCGCACGATTTGTCCGTCCTGTCACTTGATATTATATAAAATAAACCAGATCTGCCAATCTTAACAACGCAATGAAAACGTATTGATTAACACACAGCCAACACAATGGCGTCCTTTACAAAGTCACTCTATCACATATGACCATCTCACTTCCACGATGTTAAAGCCAATCTTTGAGCACACAAAAGTATTATTTATCATGGCATGAGTTTTTTTGAAACGAGCTCCTTTTGCAAAAAATAAGTTATAATATTTTTTATGGAATGAAGAGTGGCAAGTATTGTACCATTTTGAAATCTTGATTATATGGGCCATCTTTTAAAATAACTTGCCCAGGGTAGTGTAGTACATTTAAAAAAAAAATGAAGTGTCAAAGCTAGCTGACATATTTTTTTTAAGCTACGACTCAATGAAACTTATTTTTTTTACTAAACTCATAACGTTTATTGTGTGATTTGTGACTGCAATAAATAGCATGGTTATTTATGATGACGTTAAAAAAAAATCACTCCAAAATTTGAAAATTTGTGATGACAGTACCTGAACATGTGGTCTAGGGTATCGATGTTCAACATTTAAAAAAAAATGCCTATTATCACTTAACTAAGTGACATGGATTTTATTTTTAATTTTTACCAGAACTGATATAACCTGGCCTCTCGCCCAGTGACCGCTTGACGTTGAGTTTTACCGTGTATAATATAATAATTGCCCATGGTCCATCCAGGTGAACCAACCAGCAGGCTGATTTTAATTCAAATGGGAATCGATCCGATTAGGTAGCCCATCCGAGTCTCGAAATCAGATGGGTTTCAGAGCGAGAAGGAGCCCTACTATATCTTTCTAATTTGTGAGTTAAATCAACTATAGTTCCGATTTGAAATGTCAAAGTTTCCGGTCAGCCAGTTGTGTATCGCAATTATGCGCCCCGACTCGGAAGAGACGCAGTTTCCGATCGGGTGAGGCAATCAGCGGAGATTACCAGAGACAGTCGGCGTCACTTTAAACTTTTGGTAGGAACTCCTGGTTCACATTAAATTAAGATGAAGTAAATATCGATATACAGAATCAAAGACGACGTGTCTTAACATTTAAGACGTAAATTCAAATCTATGGCGTTTGCGTTATCAACAGTCGAAAATGTCAAATTTGACATGTTGTGGTTGTATGTACAACAATAAAAATCAATTCCTATCATAACGGATTAACTGGCATTATTATGCACGTAACCGCCAGATTGTTAGAAGCTGTTAGAAATGACTCACTCTTTGTAATAAATAAATTTAATGAGCAAAAGATAGGTAATCAGAGTACGCCATAGATTTAGTATATAACTAAATCTATGGAGTACGCAATATAAAAAAAATATCCTTAATATTTACGGTTAATTACTAGACCTTTTTAAATTGTAATCTAGAATGTTCTTAAGTTAAAATCGAAAATAAGACAAACTTTTTTATTTTCTCTGTTAATAGTGGTAAGCGACACTAAACACCCGTAACTAAAAGCCGTAACAGTGCCACTCAGAGCTTTAAATCGCAACAAGATCGCAAAGCACCGCCACTGCACCCAGCACTGTTAGACACAAAGTTGTCCTTCAAAACCGGAACGCAGTAATGTATAGTATAAACTTACATTACTGTTTGGCGGCAGAAGTTCCACATGCAGCTCTACTGCTACTAAAATGTGAATACAAAGTGTACTAGGGTTGTTTGACGTCACGTGACGGGCGCAAACTCGCGGTGGCCCAATTGCGTTTATAACGCACACACTCAACATACAGACAACGTTACATTATCAAGATCTAGACTGATCAAATCAAACAAAAATGTTTTATTTTAATCCCTTTTGAACCTTGTGAATTTAATTTTAATTACATTAGAATGAAATAGACGCAATCGTCAATTTCCGTAACACCCGAATAGCTCCGTAGCTTGGATTTTACCTAGTTGGTAACAAACAATTATTTAGCATTATTATTTTTACAATTACATGTTTCTTTTTTATTTATCGAGTATTTGCTATAAAAGCTATCAGCTCAAAAAGTTATCAAATGATTAAAAAAAAAGTATTATGCCTAAACTAAATCGTGTAAAATAATTCCTACCATATTATAAGTAAAAAAAAAAACTGAAAAAAATGTCCCTTTCAACTAATAGCTCTTCGCGAATAGCGTTTACAAAAGCAATTATTATGTATTTTTTTAAATTTATTTCTCATGCAGTCTCATAGAAAAGTTCCTATGTTTTTATGTCAATATTACATATTTTGTTCTCTTTTGTTGTTAAAAAGTTCTTAATATATTTTGATAGTTATGAAATGAATTAGAGCAATTGATTATTATTGTCTACTTTTTGTTTTGATAGAGAAAATATAATAACACAGAAATAATCGCCAATCATTGCTGTTGACACATCATCTTAAAAATGTGCAATTTATACATTTTGCAATCTATTAAACCTTTAAATAGTAACAAATAACAATAAAAAACAAAATTCAAATTTAAAGGCTGTATTTAATTAATTGCTTAACATAAAATAAACCTCCTTCAATTGCATTAAACAACAGCTTTCCAACCAAACTTGAAAATAGAAATTACCTCCTTTTTACCAATGATCTAATTACTTTGAACAAGATAGGTTATTTGCATATGCAAAACTGTATCAATTTAATAACTACGAACTGTAAATATAAATTGATAATTACTAAACAATAGCGTTCAAAATCAGCCATCAAAACATATGCAGGAAAAATATCCAAATTGTTATAAACACAAAGCATATGACGAAGTATTAGATAAAATAAATAATAACAAAAATATCTTCTCACCTATTTGCAAAGAATCGATACTGTAAATGTACGCGTTGTTCAACTGGCAAGGCCTTTACACACACTGGCGCACAAGGCTGGCTTCCAATAAAGAAATTTCGATAAAGCTCAAAAATACGTAGAAAATAAACCGAACGACAATTCACTGACTCGTTTACTCGACACTGTGATAAATAGAATTAATCATCATGTGAAGTTAGCAACATTTTATCCACGAGTGTTACCAGAGTCAATGATATATTTTACTTAAAATTAATTTTTGCGTATGTAAAAATCGATTTTCCAGCCAGAATATAAGTTGAACCTTATTAATGTAACATTATGTCTATTCAAGAAATAAATAATGGCAAACTAATCACAAATAGTAAATTTTGTAACAACATAATTTATAACCAAAATCAGGGACATTAAACAGCGCTGGTATTACAGCTACCTCGCCCCCCGCTGACAAAGTAACCCCTCAACCCACTTGGCGACCCTCAATACGACAATACAATGAACGTTTAGGTTTTGTGTTTCGAGAACTTTCGCACTTATAACATAAATTTTCGTGCCGTTTCAGCTTTTATTTTAAATTTTAGCTTATGAAATATGTTTTTAATTAGAGAAACTAGGTAATTACGGTTAAATATTGTTATTTAAAAGGGTCGAAGTAAGGTTTAGGATGAGGTAAAATTCCACAAGCTCGAAACACGAAACCTCGACGTTCGATAAATCTTCCGTCCTACTCTTGCGGGTTCATTCTGAATCACTTGTCAACAAGACATGAACGTTTTATCGCTGCGTAGTTCATTATTTTTGTATAATTTGACCGTACAAGCCGAGTTCTCTGTATTCGTTTAGTTTTGCGAATGATAAATACGCCTTCTACGCCAGTGTGTGTAAAGGTTCGACATTTGAAGCTCGTCTATCGTAATACCTTTTTTCGAAGTTACCTGTGATTTTCAAAATATAATTAAATAACCATGAAGATCATATTTGCGGCCGCCGCTCTTTTGGCTGTGTGCTCACAAGCATTTGCCACACAATGTAAGTATTTATTTTTCACTTTTAACTTTTCTTTCTTTACAAAATGTTTCTGTAGCTAATTTTATTGGTTTCGGTATTTTATCAATGTAATTTCTTGAATTATTGTATTTGTAAAGAAACTACAAAAACATGTACAATAGTTTTAGAACGATGCAATTTTATTTGTTTAATAATTCCTAAAGTACAGTCGCGAACAAAAGACTGTTGTTGTAGTTCGTAATATAACAAATTTTAGTTACAAAAATTTTAAAAATAATTGTATAATCCACAGAAATGACTATAAAGTGTAAATTAAGCAATATTTCAATTAAAAAATACAGAAATAATAGCATTTTCAACTTACGTCCGCATTTGTCCTTCCATCAGCACAGAAAACGGTGAATTGACCTCAAGATATGACGTATCGTTGTGTCAGTATAATTACCTACCCTATTATAAATTATAATATTATTAAGATGGTGTCACACATACGCAACTTGAACATACATATGTAATGTAATTGAAATCCGCCTGAGACCTATCTATAAATGACTTGAGTAGATTGTAACTATAATTTTTATAAAAAAAAGAAACCGACTTCAAACTTTACAATCGATTACCGAAAAGTGCGCGAAACCGAAGTCATCCCCTTGTTTGCCATCCTTAGAGGTGGAGTATTTTCTTTAAATTTAAATGGAACCAATACTGAGGTTCCTATTTTCCAACAAAAAAGCATCATGGGTTCACAAATGCGAAGTAACTTGTGCAACGCCTAACGTATATTGAGCCAGTGTATAGAGAAAATTTAACAATACATAAATACAACTGTTTATTTCGTAGTAGACAAGGCACTTAAAGAAAAATATAATACTAAACAAACTTATTATATAAATTTTAATACTAGAATGTTTATAAGTAGAAAATTTCCTTGCGGGCCGTACCGTTGGACATCATACACCAGAAGGTGGCAACATTTCCCTTTGAATAGCTAAACTTATTCTTTGACGGCAATAACTGTCAGCCTTGTGGTCACCGGAGGCTTCTGCGAGGCGAGGATTCTCGTTCGCTAGAAGTCTCGCTTGTGGCCCCCAGAGACCCAGGGTTGCAATCGCAAAAGACACAAAACTATAGGTCATGCAATTCCGAAACAGCGTTGTGATCTCATCTAGATGATGAGGGTCTTGATTTTTAAATTCTACTCATAGAATTCACGTGTACAAGCATAAAGTTTGCATTTTTAAGAAACTATGCTATCTGCGATTTCGGGGGAAGAATCGCTTTTAATTGCCGAAGGGTGCAAAAGTTTTAGAAGGGAGTTTTATGCTTTTGTCTGTATATTGATGTATATGCTGTCTGGGGCATCTGGAACTCTCCAACGGATGAATTGATCTCAAAGAGCTATATTGATTTGAAGGATTATTTATTTAATTTAACCTGTCCTCAAGTTTTTTTATGAGACTTGACAACAGATGTTGAGCAGTTTGAAAACTGTCACCTCTTCCCAGTTGTTGTAGGGATATGAGTCAGAAAATGAATATTTATATTATTTCCGCTTGTCCGATTGACTTGAAATTTGGTATATCCTATGTTACAATAATATGGTAACTTTGATCTGAAACTGCAATTGAGATAGAAAATGTTTGACAAAAGTTTGGAAGTGAAAAGCTTTGCCATCAAAAATGTCACTAATCTACATTGTCCTTATTCTATTGTATTGTATTGTATATTTGTATTTGTACGTAAATTTAATTTGTCATGAACAACATTTACTTGATTGTTATGCGTAATTGTACGATACGTCGCATTTGCAATGAAAAAATTCAACAAAACGAAATTGTTATGAGAACATTTAACAAGTTCCCTGTGTATGCATCATATGTGGTGCATTTCGAGCTCCAAACGATATGTGAAAGCATCACATATTATGAAGCATGACCATTTATAACCTTTATAACAAAATATGCACGTATAGGTAAGTTAGATCTTTTTTTTTACTGGCACGTATGGGCCACGAAAATTGTTACAATTAGCATGTGGTACCGAATGACTTTTTAACCAATGTTGCCAGATTATCACTGTCAAAGTAAAACATAAAAAATTATTATAATTTTTTCACTACAAGTTAGAAACGTCTATTACTGACTTGCATATAGCGCACATGATAATAAAGAGAAAAGGGGCATTCAAATAAACAATGTCAAAAAACCCAAGAATCAAAAATTAAAAAGCTGGGTAAGCAGAACTAAAATAATTATTTATGTGGCACCAATCAGAGAACTCATACGTGCGCGTATCACATGTGGGGATGAAGAATCATACTTGACATCGTTTTTTAATTAGGTCGAGTATTGCTTATTTGACAGTAACTGTTTCGGACGGATATCGGACGAAGAAGGAGAAAAGACTCCCTGAGTCAAAAAAATAATATTTATTGGACTTCCGCTTGTCCGATCGACTTGAAATTTGGTATACTATGGATATTCTACGATATAACATTAATGTGGAAATTTTGACTTATTGCTGCAATCAGGACAGTCTGTAGACTACCCAAGTCCTCAGTACTCCTCAGCTACTTACTGCAGAACTCTCGACGAGTAGTTAGCTTACGGATGGTGACTTTTTACTTTTCGGAGTACACTGTTTTGTATAGGAGAGGATTTTAATTAAGATTTAAGTATAGGAAATGAAACTTCTTTTTCAAACAAACCAACGTTTCGGACCCTTTACAGGTCCCATGGTCACTGTTAACTGTGACCATGGCACCTGCAGCTTGATTTTGATTGCCTCTCCTGATCGGTAACAGCGTCTTTTCCGAGTCGAGGCGCATGATTGCGATTCACAACTGGCCGATCGGAAACTTTTGACATTTCTAATCAAAACAATAGTTGATTTAACTCACAAATTAGAAAGATATAGTAGGAATCGAGTTCATCTTCTCGCTCAGAAACCCATCTGATTTCGAGACTACCCAATATCAAAATCAAGCTGCTGTAAAGGGCCCAAAACGTTGGTTTGTTTGAAAAAAACAAGTATACGCGATTTAAGTAGGAAAAATAGTTTCATTTCCCATGTGTAACAATCGTGAAAACCTAAGAACTCGATAACATTTAAGTTTTATTGTGTAGATATTTCTGTGAGCCAATGTGACCAATGTTGATAAAGCGCAGGCCACCGCGAACGCTGCCGTCCGCTAACTGACAAAATATTTTTTTGAGATATCATAGAAAACCATAAACCAGCTATAGTATATTCAAATTGTTTGATGATATTTCTATGCATCGCAAGGGTAAGTTTCGATAAGTCAAACACGTTAACTAATTTTAATTGTTTTCAAAAGACAATTTTGTGCTCTATTCTTTGCTATTTAAAATGGTTATTTGACCATTTGTCAAAGCCGCGTATTTGTCGTAGCCGCGTTTTAGTTAGTGGACGGCAGAACGATGCTACGCTAACTTAGCTTAGACGCTCCGCAGATGGACCAACTTTAGTTGACACAACTTGCAACTATTTACAAGTTTCCATTAACGGTTGCCGGTTGTAGCAACTAAAAGGCCTAGTTGCCGGTTGCCGCAATTTTAAATAAACTTTAGTAATCCACGGTCAAGACTGGCGCTTTGGGGGACGGGGAGGGATTAAACTTGCTTCACGAGTTGTTGTTGCCGGTTGCGGAAACTGGCAACTGGAGACAATGGTACAAATTTGCAAGTTTCTTGTAGCGGCAATTAAGAATTTATTTAATCACGAATTTCGGCAATCGAAAACTAGTCAATTGCCAACACTCAACTGAAGTTGCTACGTCTGCGCGGTTTCTTGAAATTATATGAAAAACGTCGATGATCAAAGTTGCTTCATCTGCGCAGCGCCTTAGCTCAGGTAGTTGCATGTAATCAACGATGCCAACTAAGCTAACTTAGAAAGTCTCTCGAAAGTCTTATTTTAACAAATTTTCAATTTTCTGTTTATCGAAATATTCTTTTTGTTACAAGAAACAAAAGTAAAGCTTATACCCCTGAAATATGGTCGCTTCTTGTTTGGAGAACCAAATTAATAACTCCAATTCGTCGTCGTTCAGCAATAAACCGCTAGATGGCAGCACATTAATTGAAATTTCAATATAATATCAAATCGTCGTAACTTGTAATAATAGGTATTGATGGTATTGAACTTTTAACGATATGCCAACACGGTAAAGTTTAAATTATATTAACAATCCAGAATTTGTTATTTCTTTTTAAATTTGAAACTACGACCAATCAATATCAAGATTTTGTAGTGTTTCAAATTAAGAATGTGTGGGTTTTGGCGACATCGATTTTGGTAGTAAACGAAGCATAAGACACTTCCATGGTTTTTGTCCTCCGTGGCAGAAACAAGTCGTCCAAATGCGCAGAAATTGCAAAAAAACAACCTTCAGTATAAAGTTTTTGTTTTACATCTGTGATGTAGAACGTTCGCCGAATTAGGTCACGGAGTGAATTCAATTGGGAAAGAACCTGAATTGCATCACTTGCTATAAATAAAGATATATGCTATAAGCTATAAAATGCTTCTGCAATGAATTAAATATCTTAACAGGAAAAGTGGGCGAAAACAATTTCTCATTCACTCTCATATCCCCAGCCAGAGATGGGAAGTGCGTTAAAACCATGTTAAAACCCTATTAACCCGCCCGAGTTTTTACCCAAAGCCTTTTAGGGTTTTAATCTATTTCTATTTTAATCTATTACCCACCTTGCAGTGAGAATACACAGGTGTATTCTCACTACTAAGGATTCGTATTACGGTACGATTTTAACGAACATCGCGCCAGGTACAAGCGATTGAACGATTTATTTGTATCGATTTATTTCAATGCGTTTTTAAAGCGAACCGATTCAATAGAACGGCAAATCGAATCGTCTAGATCAGAAAGTAATAAACGTTTTGTAACAATATCATTAAGTTTGAACAAAACTCGATTTACAACAAATATTTAATTCTAAGTAGTTTTTACCTTTAATTTTGGGCATTAACTGATTTAAAACCCGACAGCTAACAACTAACACGACAGCTAAAGCTAACAACTAGGCTCCGGATTAAAACGCGGGTGCATGTCCATCTTTTTTTTCATAATATCAAGTGACGTGACGAACAAATCCTGCGTCTGATTCTACACGCCTGTCCATAACAGCTGTAGTGCCCTGAGATATAAGTTGACAAGTTCCATGTGCCTGTAATTTCACCAGCACCGTTACCCTTCAAAACCAAAACACAGTAATGCTGCCATGTCTGCCCTCGACGCAAAAAATATGAGACGCCTTTGTTAAAACTTTGCGCAACTCCGCGAAATGTTGGCACACGTACCACGCAAACTAAGCACTTTTACTGTATTTATTGTTCTGTGGACATAACCTTTCGCTTAGTGGAGTGCATCCATGAAGATTTCCTGACGTTAAATAAAAAGGAGACTGTTATCGTGCCCATGGACTTTTTGAACGAATAGTCTAGAAGTTTATTAGATGTAGTTAAGATTGAATGTTACATATGAGCAAAATCTAGATATTCTGCAGTATGTTTATATCTATGTACTTATATGTGATATTTACATACAGCAGGATGTGCCTATTGACGTGGGTCTGCCGGCTGATAAGCAAAATCCAAATACACGTCTAATTTATGTATATATCTCCAGACTTCTATATCTACATAGAGATGGTTGCCATTCAGATAGGCTGTATAATAGATAAGATTGGAACACAAAGAAAACAATAAAAATATATAATGTAGATTTGTTTGACGGGTGGATTGATATCAATCAAGTTTATTTAGAACACAAAGATAAGCAACTTATTTGTTCAGATACTACATAGGACTAATATACATTAATAGCTTTAATTAATACACTAATATGAGTAATGCTGCAAGCAGCATTGCCCCTTTTTATGGCTGTGATAATTCGTTTTTGGACATAGCTGACTATCTTTAGGTCTCTGAGTGTCTCCACACTAAGAAACGCCGGGTCTATGCAAGATTTCATGTCGTTTCTACACACGAACTGTGTACACTGCCTCGGCGCCGGAAAAAAAAATCTTGTCTACTTGTCTTGTCGGACACGACGCGCGTAAGGGGCGGGGTGCATTGCCAGTAAACGAACGTTTATGCGCGTGGACGGGTGTTGCTTGGTAGTCAACATGTACAACAACACGTTTCTTCCCACAGTCGGTAGCAAAACGACAGCTACCTGAGAGACACGTAATGCACTGATACATTTTTACCATACACACGTCTGACCGAAATCATTCGTATCGTGTACATACTCATCATTTACTGGTCTGCACAAAATTCTTGTCGTGTACAAGACCATTCTCATCTTTTCTGTAGCAGACACGTTGAAATTCTTAGCGTGTACACGCTATTGTCTTCCAAGTAGGCCTTGTACACTCGTTCGCCGTCCGACATCTGTCCGAAACAATTACTGTCAAATAAGTAATATTCAAGCAAATTAAAACACACTTGATACGATTGTACTTGACATTGTCAATGAAATAAAAAACAGTGACAATACAAAAAATAAAACAGTTAAAGATACAATCGGCGGCCTTATCGCTAGACAGGGATCTCTTTCAGGCAACCTTACAAATTATTACGGAGTTTTAGGTGAAGGGCAGTCAATGGTGCACAAAGCAGCTAAACGATGTACGTAGAAATTGAACCGAATACATTCTTAAATAAATTCCACATAAACGTACTACATATATATTATAACATACATACACATTGCTACATAACAAATATATAACTATATACACATACAATATATATATACACATTATTTTAATTTGGAAGGCGAATACTTAACTTACTCTACTAAATTGAAATTACTAAGTGATATTTGTTTATTTTTAATACATTTGCTCAAAACGTGGTATTTTTCGCACTAGTGCTTTTTACTCTTCCAGATTTTTTTAAATTTACTGTTGTTTTAAGTCTTAAACATAGAACTAAAGAGATTGTATATTTATTTCATATTTATGTGCTTTGTGACGTAAGTCATTTGTCATTAAAACTTGTATTTATTTACAAATACTATATAATGAACGTATCGAGTGGAGGTCCACAGTCTCTGCCTACCCCTGAATGGGTGACAGGCGAGATTTTTATGTATATATTTGTTCTATGTATTACAGATAAATTGTATCTCACTACCGTGCACGGGTTCCTAAAAAGTTTAAACAAAAGTACCAGGACTTCATAATAAGAAAAGTGGTTACAGACCGATATTACAGAAAATAAACAAAAACAGCACGTTAGAACTATAAATAGATATAGACTTTTAAATAATGGTTGCAGTGGTTGTATTTCATTATTTTAATTAATAGCAGAAAATGAGTTTTTTTTTAAATACTGTTTTATTTTACTTTCAATGTAGTTTTTTCGCAAATGTATTAAAAAACGTCGTTTGATACACGTGCGGATTTGTCATTTTCACTTGTCTCGCGTCTTGAACCTCGCCTCTGGCTCGGGCCAAGATGCCTCGAGACTCGTGAATAATGACTAACTTTCCGCACTTGTATCAAAAATAACTATTCCCACATCGTGGCAGAAGGACTCCTTGTGAAAGAGTTCGTCCAGGAAAATACTGCCACTGTACCTATTTTTGTATATACTTGACATTGTATTACTTATTTGACTGTAATATCGATACCCTCTCAAAGGTCATTTATATTGGTAAAGGAAGTAACTTTTGTCTACAAATAATTAACGCGGTGTCTTGCGACAATGCAACAAGATGACCTCGGTGGCGTAATGGTTTACACTGTGGGCGCTTTATGCCGAGGTTCCGGTTTCTTTTTCTGGTTCGACCAATTTGGGGAAGGAACTTTTCTGTTTCGGTTCTGATCTGGGTATTCCGGGAAGCGCCCCAGAATTCCGTTGCTGTGTCACTCATACTACAGGGTATTTTCTAGTTTTCAGATTTTTCTACTACACATTGCATTATTAGCATTTATGAAAGAGTAGGCATAAAGCTAATAATTGCATTGTGCACTGGCATTACAGTGTGCGGTCTCAGTGCGAGACAAACCGTGTCCATGTATTACCTGCCTAAAACGCGCTTACGCATTTGTATTGAATTGAGATTGTAAATAAATTAAAGATATTGACAGGGCCTCGTCACGTCTCTGAAAAACAATGTACCTGTCTTTATGTATCTTATCTTTACGTAAGTGAGCAATATATCTTTATTTTTCACATACTTATTTTTAATAACCTATTGATGTAAATCTTTAAGTTTATGTACTGCAACTGAACATCTGACCTTCTTTACTTTAAAATATATACAAGGTTGTTTATAAAATACTAACAACCTCGCTGGACTATATTAATAACACCATAACCGAAAAATTTCATTCTATGACTTTTTATATATTACAATAAATTTACCAAAAATAAACTTTTTAGTTTTTGGTGTCTTAGATTTGTATTTGGTAGTAACTTGTTTAGGAACGCCTCTCGCGTGCTTTCTTTTGCTACTGCACAGAGTTATCGCCGTTTAGAGCGACCTATTCAAATATTATTATTTTTGAATGAAAATAAAATCTTGAAAATTATTAAAACTCGTGGAACTAAAGTTGTTGTTTATGACGTTAGTAATACAGTCCCGTGTGGTTGTTAATGTTTTACAAATAAGCACGTATATTTATTATTTGATTACCGTTAAAAATTTACTAAAATATGCAATTATTATCGAAAACAGAGAACATATTTTGTTCATGACTGTACCGGAAGACGTTGCGTTCCGTGTACAAAATATGAATTTTTTATAATTTTTTGTAGGTTCCAACATGCAGCTTTTGAAAATGAAGGTTTTTGTTTTTGTTTAATGGCACTAGAAAACTTTGTGCCAACGTAAAGGATACAACGAAAGGGCGGTTGTTTTATGTTGTTCGTTTTATTTTTATAATAAAAAAAGATTTTTTTTATGTATTGTCATACGTGGTTTTATTACCTAGTATGAAACACACAGAGAACGGGTGCGAGTCGGGTCGGGAGCACGACGGGTGTAATTCCGTGTATTTATTTGGACGACAATACACTATGCGCGAGCGCGAGACGGGCGCAGGTCGCGTCCCGCCCCCACGACACTCGCCCGACCCGCACCCGACCCGCACCTGCTGTCAGTGTGTTTCACGTTTAAGGGTACGAAATTAACTTTTAACTTAGTATTAACAGCTGTTAAGCAATTGACTAAATTTTTTTACAAGAAATAACGTAACTTCTATAGTAATCATTCATTGTGTTTTTCTTTAACCTTGCCAAAATAATCAATTTAGATAAGTAATACGGAAGACGGGCAGGCATTGAATTTACCAATAACCATTCTGAAAAGAGTCCGTCCAGGGAAATACTGCCACCTTACCTATTTCTGCCGCCAACCAATAATGAGCGTAACTGCGTTCCGGTTTGGAAGGGTAAGGGGGCTGGTGAAATTATAGGCACATGGGACTTACGGCTCAGGTGACCCTAAGATATTTGCGATTTAAAGCTCTAAGTGGCACTGCAACTGTTATGGATAGGCATGTCGCTTACCAACAGGTGCACGACTTGGTCGCCCCGTCACTTGGTATTAGTAAAAAAAAACTTTGTGTCAGTAATAAAAAATAACTTATTTTTTCTTGTTACAGGCCACGTGAACCCAGTAAACATCCCACAGGACTGGATTACAATGCACTCTCGGTGCCGTACTAGCATGAGGACTCAAATCCAGATGGAAGTCGCCGCTTCACTGCAGTATCTCGCCATGGGCGCACATTTCTCTAGAGATGGGGTATGTTGACCATCGATAATTGACGTTTTTCAACAGAATAATAGCAGCAGACGTCGTTTAGGGGGTCGATTTAGACCCTTACGATAACATTTTTGTTCACAACACTCGAATCGAAAGTCAAACTGTCGTATTCGAAACCGAACCGAAATGACGTCACACTTGTACGATTACTCGAGCTTCTCGACCGGCAAAGGCTACAAGCATATAATATGGAAATTTCCTATTATTTTAAATAATGACCCGATGTTGTTTAATTTTATTGATTTATTTTAATGCAAGTCTTACAAATGCGTATAAAAAGATTTTAATTTTTCTTATAAAATCTATTTCACCTACTAATTCCGTAAACGCTGTTGGATGACGATATCGTATCTTATAACGTTTAAGAGGGAGCAGAGGAAAAATTCCTAATCTTCGATTTGATTTTAGAGGGGTATATCCACTTTAAAGTTAAAAATAAAATATTGTATGAGTAACTGCACGATATATTCAAGCACAGACACTAATCAGAAACATAAAACAATAAAGTTTCCTCGATAGATAAAAATCACGAAATGACTTCTAATTTTCACATTTTTTCGATTCATCCTCGAAATGCTACAGGTTATTAGGACAAAAATTAGATAATTAATTATATTTATGCATGATCGAGAACTGTCACTACGGATTTTTTTTAATCCCTTTAGTTTTAGAGTTATTCCGCTAAAACGAATTTGGTTGGCATGTCACGCGAACTTCAGGCATATATTTGTTTCACAAATTTGGGCGGAGTCAACGTCAAAACTTTTTTGGCATGCTCCCTCTTAACGCTAATGTTCTGAACAGCTCGGGAAGCGCCCTTCGATTCCAGAACGTTACCCAATCGAATAATTCGGTTAAAATATAAGCTGCAAAACTTAATTTGAAAAAATTGTGAGTCGATACTACCTCAGCACTAATTATAATTTTTCCCGTACTGATCGATTCTATAGCGCGGATCCAGTGGCAGGACACTGCTTTATCTCAGAATTTATTTTTTCACAAACGCGAATTAAAGCCATTCCAAAAATCGTATGGTATATGTGTATTATTTAGTTCCGTTGATATAAAAAACATCATTGATATATGTAAAGTACCTATTGAATATAATAAATAGTACCTTAGGGCCTTTAGGTGAGCCGCCCCGGGTGCACGTATAACACCCTCCCTATGTTCCAGATAGGTACCAGAGCTGTAGGCCACCAAATGTACCAAATCTCCTTATTAGTGGCGGACCCGTGCCCAACAGTGGAATGTATAAATGGGTTGATGATGATATTTGTGATGGATTAAATCAGCAGATAAAATTCACGGACTCCACGGACTATAAGGCCCGCTACATTAGATGTGTAAGGTGTAGCTCGAAAATAATTTTTTTTTTCAACAGATCAACCGACCTGGTTTCGCGAAACTTTTCTTCGAAGCGGGATCTGAAGAAAGAGAGCACGCTATGAAGTTGATTGAGTACCTGCTCATGCGAGGCGAGCTCACCGGAGACGTCAGCTCTCTCATTACAGTCAAGGTAAGAAGGTCTTCAGTCAAAATTATTATAAAAAAGTTCTGGAAGTTTTATAAAAAAAAAAGATGGAATAAAAAAGACAACAACGTGTAATGTTGAAAATCACAAGTCGAGAAAAAACCTATACAAAAAAATGTATAACTAAAATTCGACCCCTCCTACGTAAAGTATCGTATGTCGAAATTGCCAGGTTTACAGGAGAGCGTTTTAAAGTTTTGAATTCTCTGAAATGAGCATAATCATAAATTATAAAATGAATTGTGGTTGTTCATCTAACCGATATCGGTTAGATTCTTAGTTCTTAAAGTGGTCCAGGTGTACCCCCTGGGGTCCACGCGAGACTCAACGGGGGCCTACGTTGGCGTGTTAAAAAAGTGGGGGTTCACAATTCGTAAGCGGGGTCCACGAAAATTTATCTGTTTTCGATACTGAAGAACTAAAATGTTGGCTTGACTTCACCTATCAATGCAGGCAGATAATATTTTAAGAAGCTCAGCGACTGTTACTTGTAAAAACTTGCATATTCCATATTCAGCACAACGTGTCTTTACTTTTTGACATCCACTCACAGCACAATCAATTTTTTTTTCGAAAACTATTAATTTGTGGTTGGAACTCAGCAATTTGCGTTGCCATAGTTAGATCTAATCTTCTAATTTTTTGTCGAGTTTTGGGAATATGGTAGAAATGTAGCTGCAAGGGGTCCACCGGAACCAGCGGAATTTTGAAAGTGGTCTATGAGAAAAATGTCTGGGAAACTCTGGGTTAGATGATTTACTAGGTTTTTATAATACTCTATGTGAGTAACGAGCTTTGGCGAATAAAACTGGGAATTGCTAAAGTGACGTGTTATACTTATTTCAGTGAATTCCGAACTTTAAAAGGCTCCCCTGCTGTAAACTTGCCAATTTCGACATACGATACTTTACGTAGGAGGCGACGAATTGTCTTGCGTGCGTTTGCTGTTCACAAAGTGGCAGGCGCTCAAAATCTTGACAGTTTTTAGTTTAAAAATACTTTTTTGAAGATCGAACTCACAGAAAAAAATTATTTTCACAAAAAATCTCAATAAAGAACAAAACATTTACAAATGTCTACAGCCCCCTCAACGTAAGACCTGGGACAGTGGTGTGGATGCACTCCAGCACGCGCTGAAACTGGAGACTGAAGTCACCAACAGCATCAGAACTGTTATTTCTAATTGCGAGGGTGATCCAGAGTTTAACGACTACCACGTAAGTTTTTGTGCATCTATTTAACATAAATTTACTCTATGCAAAAATTAGTCAACATGTTCGTCAACGAAAGGGATTCTTTATTTTAACAAGCTGTTCGTTCAATATGGTAACTGCCTCCGTGACCGGGTTCGATTCCCAGGCCGAGAGAAATATTTGTATGGACTACATTTATTTCTCTCTTGAGTTTGGGTGTAATTTGTGGTTGTTTATGCGTGTGCCCCTGGCACCCGCGAGACATGGTTTCCCGCGGGGCTATAAAAAAAATTATAAATTTTTTGTGTACAAAAAAACCGACCTAAAAATTTCGTGGAATTGCATCTATTTGTCAAGTTTTATTGCGCGGAACTAGATTCATCACCCTTAGAGGTGGAACATTTTCTTCAAATTTAAATGGGACCAATACTAATATTGCCTTCAAAACGTAAAAAGGCACAACTGCTGTATAAAGTACGCATAGTTGGGTAATTTTCAGGTAAGTTTTTTGTACTCAATTTTGTTGACAATTCCTTTTTATTTAAATATTTTAAAAATATCATCATGAAGTATTATTTAATATTCGAGTGTAGTAACCTGAATTATTCTTTAATAATTCACGATAATATATTCGAGTAGTTAAATAATAAAAATTGTAATCAAAATTGAGTACAAAAAACTTACCTGAAAATTACAGAGTTGTGCCTTTTTTCGTCACGAGGACAGTATAGAGGTACCTTCTTTCTAACAAAAAAAGAATCATCAAAATCGATTTACAGAGAGTTATTGCGAAACATACGCACAAATACAGTCGATTTGAGAACGTCCTTTTTTGAAGTCGGTTAAAAGCCATATTACCATAGATATAAAAAAAATTCATTCGTCAAACGCGCGATTGTATCGATGCAAACGCGCGACTGCATCATTGTGTATGTTGACTCATTATGTACTAAAAATCTGTATAGGTTTATGCACATTGTTTTGTTTCGTTAAGAACATATATTAGGTACTTACTTCTTTATTTATTTTTATTAAATATTATGACGTTTTTACTGCGATGATATAATATTTTTGTGAAAGTATGTTTGTTATATTATTGATACAAAATATACGGCGGGTTTTTGAAGTTACGAGTATATTAAGTATATTATGAAGAAAACGGGAAGAAAGATATAGTTACGAAGATGGTTAGAACTATATTCCTTATTTTAAACCAAATTATAAAAGATTTTATCCTGAAAATTCCACTAATTACGAATTCAAAATTTTTGTTCAAAGTAATAGAAGATAATATATTTAAGTGAAAGTAAAACAAATATTGACCCCCGCCGCTTAAAAGACTATTTAAAAAGCCCAAATAAGTGAACTAAGTTATTTAAGAGAAAGTGAAAACGTAATTTATTAGAATTAGAACTACAATGGAAAATATTACTGAGGATCCCGATAATTAAACAAAGACATGGCTCAAAGGACTTGTATCCAAGCCAAAACTATTAATAAAAAAAAATACAAAATATACTTCTTGTTTGTTTCATATATACCACTTTACTCTCTTACGTGTATAAGAATATAGATTTAATTATATTTGTTTGCCCACACAGCTTGTCGACTACCTGACCGGTGAATTCCTAGAAGAACAATACAAGGGTCAACGTGACCTTGCTGGCAAGGCTTCCACTTTGAAGAAGATGATGGATCGCCATGTGTCCCTTGGAGAGTTCCTGTTTGATAAGAAACTCCTTGGCATGGATATCTAAGCAGCTAATTCTTATAGAAATTAAAAAAATAAAAAGTCATTTAGAATTATAATTATTTTTCCGTACAAAGTTATGTTTGAAAATATTAGTGATTTTAAATGGTTCTTTAGTTTACTATATTATGCAGAATGTTGATTTCCTGTCGAAGCGCAGCCATGTTTATTTTTCTTTTTTCACAGTTTTACACACTTGCGCGCGAAGTATTTTACAATTGTATGTATATCCCACAAAAAGGAAAATAAAATGACGGTTTTCGTCGTTACAGTTTTTTTTTAAATTTTAAGTTTATTAGTTTGAGGTACTTTTAATATTATTTGTTACCTTTTCAAGCTGATGACTCTATTGACTTAACGGTGATCTGAAACGTCAATTAACTCGAGATCGAAATTAAAATTTTACGCTAGCTTAAAGTCTCATGCAGATCGATAAAGGAACTGCCAAGCAATTTACCAAGAAAGCTTCGCTTCGTTAATTTTACCTGTATGAATTGTAGGGAAAGAAAATAACCCGAAAAAATCACTAATATTTAATTTCCCGCGTTAAGAGGCCGCCATTTTGAAAAGACATTTATAATGGCATTAAAAGTTCCATAAAAATCCTTAGTGAATGTTAAATTGTAGTGAATGTACAAAATCATTAGGTTAGGTTTAGCTTACTTAAATTGTATACTCCACTAAATGCCATGTTTGTTATTTTTATTTTTTACGTTACGTGATTCAGTCGCTTATAAGTATCATTTTTTTTATAAAACATCGTTTTGAAAAGTACTGGCCAATTTTATTAGCTTATTCAGTAACATTTCTTGTATTTAAATTTATCATAATTACTATAGAAATAAATCTACTAGGTTATATTACTGTTTTATAATATGTTACATTTTATGTTCATTATCTGTAATATTTTGAATCAAGGACTTGAATCCAATGTTACAAAGTAAATTTTAAAAATTAATAAATATTTTCAAAATTGAAATTGGCGCTAAAAATTTTAAATGGCGCCCGTAACTAGAACAAAATTAGATAGTTTTTCCTTTTGTTTTTATTTACTTATTTCTTATAAATACAACGTTTACTCATCCGTAAAATGCAGTTTTATTACATTTTATTATACTTTTATTCTGGAGGCGAGATGTAAAGAACCTTAAATGTTAAGGTCAAATAAAATATGTTAAATAAAAAACAACCGACGATAGGCATTGACGATAGGTCTTAACGTCATTTACCATTGCTTGATTTCACCATTCTAAAGCAATGTTTATATAAAAATCTAAATTCTAAAATATGCACTTACGGTCCTATAATAGCCTGGTTTAAGACGACGAGACTTGGTAGGAAATGATAATCTTAATATATACTCCGGAATCTTATTGTAAAGACGTATACAGTTCCCCATAAAAGAGTCGTTTACCTTGGTTGAACGAAATCGTGGTACCATGAGCTTGAACTTAGCTCTAAGGTTAATATTATGGATATCTTCTTTCTTATTGAAATTATCTATATTTTTACGAGCATATAAAATATTTGAATAAATGTACTGTGATGTCACAATCATGATACCAGTCTTCTTAAACTTTTGTCTGAGAGAAACCCGAGAGCCTAGACGGTACACAGAACGAATCGCTCGTTTTTGCAATACAAATATGGCTTGAATATCTGCCGCTTTACCCCACATGAGATTCCCGTAGGACATTATACTATGGAAGTAACTAAAACTAATCACATACATCACAAACTAACTCTAGTCAGTTTGAAAAAAATATGCTTAGTTTAGTCTCAGTAACTATTTGAAAATACCAAAAATTTTTATTAACATTTTCGGACCCTATCCTATTTAGGCTTAATTTATATTGCGGCAGAACGGAAGGGAAGCAAATTTTTGTAACGATGTTGTATATAGCGTAATGTACAACTCCGCACTTACCGGGAATCATCAAATAGCGACAAGCGACATCAAACGTCGACGAAATACCTTAGAATAATAACGCATAGAAACCTAGCCCGCACACGCTAAGTGAGGCAAATTGAAGCGCTCCCAAAGAGCCTACACGAGCGGGCGGGCCTTCAGTGCTGAAGGTCAACTTGCACCGCGAACAACTCCAGAATTTTAGCTAAAAATGACGAAATGAAATGAAAAATACGTCAGACAAACATAAAATCGATACTAACATCACATTCCACAAGGAAGTAACGCGTTTCAACTTGTATTTTTATATAAATATTCACTAAAACCGAAAATTAACCTACTACTAAAACTAGCCTACGTGAATTTGATTTTTGCCTCACTTGTGACAGTTCGTTTGATATGAAACTATCATTCTATGCGTTATTATTCTAAGCGAAATACTATATATTCATTGCATTTTTGTCGCGCGATGTAATCGGTCGTGTTTCAATAAAATAATATTTTAAATACTTACATAATTGTGACCTAGCTCCACTTTATGCGGAAGCAAATTATCTGTGTCAGTACAGTACGTGTTCACGTTTGAGTAATTTATTGGAAGTAATAATGTTCAATGCTTCTTGTAAACATTAAAACAAAAAATGGAAGGCAGTCCCTTTAATCGGAGTGCACTAACGCGCCGCAGCCCGCCGCCAACGCCCTCGTCTCAACCCCCCGCGCCCGCAGAGTCCCTTCAGAACGAGGATCCTCCAGATGTGGTATCCACGCCTGAGATCCAGAACTGGATGAGTGCAATAGAACAATGCTTGAACGAGGTATGTGCTATTTCTACCGAAGGCAAGCTAAATTCAGACCAAAAGCTCAGAATTAGCACTTTGTGCCGAAAAGTGGCAAATGGGACGTCTCAATTGGCAGTACAGTACCAGTCCCTAAAACAAAAAGCCGTTCAAGCATACTCATCCCTTAAAGCACTTAAAGAAAATCAAGACCTGTCGCAGCGACTTCAAGACCTAAAGCAGCGTATTGAAGAATCAACAAACCCTCTCTCAAGTACAGTTTCTTTTGCAGACATGGTAAAAAAAAAGCTCCAACAATTTTGTTCAGCCTAATAAGATAAGCTCTGTAGCAATTTATCCTACTGACAAATTGAAATCTAGTGATGAACCAAAAAATCTGGTTCAAAAAATTATCCGACCTGAAGAAATGAAACTGCACGTAAGAGGGTTACGCAAAACTAAGAACGGCGGTGTTATTATAAGCACTGACTCCAAAGACGACCTAGAAAAGCTGAAACAGGTGGCCCAATTAAAAACCTCCGGCCTTACTGTTGACGAGCCACATAAGCGCAAACCCAGAATTGTGATTATTGGTGTGCCTACATCTTTGCAGGAAACCGAAGTAGTGAACTGTATATTTCAACAAAATTTAGCCGACAAGCTGCAGGGTATGTCTCTTGAGTCATTTTTAAATAATATTAAATTAAGCCATAAGTCTGGAAAGAAAAACACCGAGTCCTGCAATTACATATTTGAAGTCGCTCCACATATACGTAAGGCCCTAATAACCAACGATAGAGTCTTTGTCAACTGGTCGTCGTGTCCTGTAAGAGATTTTACTCTAGTTACTAGGTGCTTTAAATGTCAGCAATATGGTCATGCTGCCAAGACCTGCCGGGAGGAGGCCACCATCTGCGGCCACTGTGGTGAAGCCGGTCACACAATAAAGGACTGCACTAAGAAGACCGAACCTCCTAAATGTGCTACATGCTTGCATTTCAAGAAGACCTGCGACCACCAAACAGGAGATTTTAATTGTCCCGCGAGAAAAATGGCCGAAAAAAGGTACATTAATTCAATAGATTATGAAGGCGCCTAAGAGCGTCACTCACTAATTTTACTTAATAGATCTTAATTTAATTATACACTATGAGTGATAGTTTAGTTCGCGATCTAGATAATTTCTCTGTATCAGAGTCAAAGTCTTGTGAAGTTGAAATGTGCAGACAATATTTATTACCCTTTAACAATCCTCTCTCTATACTAACACAAAACATACGCAGCATTTACAAAAATTTTGACGCTTTTAGCACTTTTCAGCATAGAATGAACATTGGCTGTGATGTCATAATTCTGACAGAGTGCTGGTTAGATAAATGTAGAAATCTACCTCCCATGCCAGGATATAGCTTATACAGCTCTAAAGAAAATTACAACCAGAACGACGGTATAGTGGTTTATACTAGGAATAATTTAAATATCTCGGTTGAAGAACCAAGTATGTTGGACTGCAATCGGCTCCTAATCAAAATTGGAACAGACATTGCAATATTAGCATTGTACAGACCCCCCTCTTTTAGAAATACCAAAATGTTTACTGACTCACTTAACGATACGTTACAACTTTTATCAACTTTTAAAAATGTAGTATTAATAGGAGACATAAACATAAACATTCTCCCACATAGCATCGATTCCTGTGCGCAAGAATACCTAAACCTATGCTCTTTTCATGGATTACTACCCGCCCACACTCTCCCTACACATCAAAGCGGCTCTTGCTTAGACCATATTATGCTTAAATCTATTTTTAAATCAATAACATTAGTTACTAACTCTACAATAACCGATCATAAAGCTGCCCTACTAACCTTAAATTGTAAATTGCTTAATTCGACTCGCACGCAAATAATTTCTAAAATTAATATAAATAAACTTGAAGAAGATTTATGCAACATTGACTTTAACCCAGTTTATAATTCTGATGACGCGGATTATTGTATGTCTTACTTAGTAAATAATGTACAGCCTTAGAATAATAACGCATAGAATGATAGTTTCATATCAAACGAACTGTCACAAGTGAGGCAAAAACCAAATTCATGTAGGCGTAAGCAACTTGTAACTACGCTCGTCGGCACGCACACAAATATACAAATAATAATGCCATGGAATAACATTTCCCTCAAAAGTGGGGACATTGTATCTTGCTTAACTCATCATTAAGTTGAAGGTGCCTACAGATTTGCCCGACATTGTCGATCAGGTGCCTACAGATGTGCTCGATTTTGTCGATCGTTACTGTCGATCGACAATGTCGATCAGGTGCCTATAGATATGCTCGGTTTTGTCGATGAAAAACGAATATAGCACTTATTTGTAAATCCAAGATGGCGGACACGATTTTTCAAAATATGCTATATGGGTATCCTTTTCGAGGTATTTAGGGATGCTCATTACGAATATGGCACTCATTTCTAAATCCAAGATGGCGGGCACGATTTTTCAAAAAAATGCTAATGGGTATCCTTTTCGAGGTATTTGGGGATGCTCATTACGAATATGGCACTATTTGTAAATCCAAGATGGCGGGCACGATTTTTCAAATAA